GACTAAACGGAGAGTTGTTTTGCTTCAATTTACTACAATTTGTTTACGAATCAAGTAAAATTATATGATGAATGTTTGCAAAGAACCGTTTTGAGATCTCAATTAAACAGACAGTTTTGATAATTGAGTGGTACAACATATCACGGCCTTACCAAAACGCAAGCGCGGACAAAATGTCTATTCGGAATGTTCTAGTTTTCAATAAAAGAATTCAATTTTTGTTATATACAATTTTTTATATTCAGATATTTCTATTTGGTTAACTATACCTTTTTGCAGTACTGTAACTATAGTTAGCGACATTTAAAAATCTGAACAATTTTACAATATTTTAAATTAAAACAAGTAAGAGGCTCTAGTCAGACCCTCTTCTACCAACACAAAATGCAGCTCGCGCTACGCGCTAGTTTGCTTGTAATATAAATACATTAAAAAAAATAGCTCTCTTGGTAGTGTTCAAACTCGCAACAGACCACAATACCTGACGCCGCCTCTACTCAACAGCCACACCAATAATTGAGTCCTAATGAGAAAAACCGGATTAAAATAGCTGTACAGATAACAATACAATCGCAATGGCAATGCTGTTGATAGTATTTACTGAAGACGCGCATGAATGTGTGCGTGTACATGTATACAGAAATTCTTTCAATTTGCTCTTGCTGCCCTAAACTCGTGGCCAGCCAAATTAAGTTTTCTTTAATAACCTCTATAATAAAGAATATTTGTATATTCTCAAAAAAATAATTGCATTTAAATTGAGTCTTAAATTGGTGGGCAGTATACATTGGTTTATTTACTTGACTTATAGCTAATAGCTATAAAATGAAAGATACTTAATATATTTATACTATTCTAGAAGCTATGTGTAAAGTTTGAAGACTCTAGCTCTTATAATATACAAGTTTTGCTCAAAAATCAGGATTTCGATATCGATTTTTATCGATCGAAACGGGGCAAGTTATCGAATATCGGAGACACACTCGTACTGCGCGGGCACTAGAAGGACCTACTTAACAAATTTCAATTCTTTAGCTATTATAGGTTTTGAGATCCTTGCGTTCATGCGAACGGACGGACGGACAGGCAGACGGACACGGCTAGATCAACTCGGGCTGTACTGCTGATCAAGAATCTATATAAAAACAAGTAAGAGGTTCTAGTCGGGAGCTCCCGACTAAGGGATACCCTGAACCCTCTTCTTCCAACAGGCCATAGGTATAAAATGAAAGATACTTGATATATATGTATATACTATTCTAGAAGCTACATGTCTAGTTTGGTAACTCTAGCTCATATTATTTACCGAAATTGCCCAAAAAACAGGATTTCGATATCGATTTTTATCGATTACTTGAAAACGGGGCAAGTTATCGAATATCGGAAACAACAAACAGAGATCCTTGCGTTCATACATACGGACAGACGGACTGATGGACATGGCTAGATCAACTCGGCTATTGGTGCTGCTCAAGAATATATATACTTTATGGGGTCGGAGTTGTTTCCTTCTGTCTGTTACATACATTTGCACAAATACATTATACCCTGTTCACCCATTTTCAATGGGTTCAGGGTATAAAAAACTGGGCATATTTCACACTTTTTCTCAAGCAAGAAAAGTATGTCACAGCTCTATAATTCCAAATAATACTGTGCACTTTTTGTTGGCTTATCCGCCAATTAAAAAGTTAGCGAACAAGCCCCCGCTTAAAAAAGTGAATTCTCGGCCTAATCTACTGACAATATGAGTAAAAATTTGAAGATGCCCTCTTTTCCCCTGCCCTACAAACAAACAAACAACAATAGCAAATTTAGAGTTGGCAGACAGCTGTTACATGAAAATCAGATGCCAAGGCTAATTTTCACTTTGGAGCAGAGCTTTCCGTATTTTGTTGCTGCTATTGTTTTTAGTACATTTGAGAGTTATTGAACCTGTAAAAGTTTTTAATTAAAATTCAAATGAAACAAATTAAACTCGCTCCTCGCAGAGCCGCAGAACGAAACCGTTTTTCAGGATAAGGTGGATGTTGCAAAGGAAGCAACAGAGATTCCCATAAAGTGCGTACGGAACGTGCGTTAAATTTTAATTGATTTTTCCCAAGAAATGTAGGAGTTGCATACACACACGCATAAGCGTACATCCACAAATATTTATACAAGTGTATGTATGTGTGTACCTGCTTACGCGGAAGAACATACGATGCCAAATGTGGTAATGTGGAGTACAGAAACGGCATCAGCCTCCGATACATGCAAACGCGAATACAAGCATACACACACACAGGCACACAAACACACATACATGCACACACACGAAGTACCTTAAAACGAAATGGCAGACAGTCAGGCGTGCGTATAAACGAACAGAAGCACAAACACATACATATATACACAACAAAATGAACGTCGGAACCGACGAACGGTACTCGGCATTCCCGCTCGGCCTGTGTACATGAATGAGAAAGTTGGTGGTGTGAGGTAGGATGCTGGCAGAGATGCTGCCTGCTATTTGGTGGCGGTTGGCCGGGGGATGCTGGCAAAAGGACGATTCAAGGAGCCAGAGAAAAACATTTTATGTCGTTGTTGTTCGTAGGCTGTTTATTGCTAGATGTTGATGCTTATATTGTTATTGTTGTTGTGGTTCTTGCTGTTTCTGATGATGTTTGTGTATTTGTAGTTGCTGCTGTTGTTAGCTGTGTGTCTGCATCTGTACATGTGTCTGTGACTGTGTGCTGTTTTATGTAGCAACCATTTATCGATTTATTTTGACTTCTTCTACAGCCAGCGTTATATTTAATAAAAGAACGACGATAACAAGAACATCTGCAATGGGAGGGACAAGAGGCTGCCTCGAAAGGGAGCTGAACACTTTTAGGGCGCTTTTGGGTTCAGCAACCATAAGCTTTGCGCAAATTTTAACAACGACCTAAAGTCAAATTGAGTAAAACGCATTGAAAACTTAAGTAATTTCCCCAGTTTTTTTGCTAAGCTTCTTCTTTTCCAAAGAGAATATAGCTTGAAGCAAATACTTTCTTCAATTTTCTTTTGCAAAACAACTTCTTGGTCAGTTTGTTGTTGCAGCTGACCCGTAGTTGTTAGCCAAGCGTTAAAATGAGTTTTATTTTATAACAACGAAGAATGCAGTGAAGTTTAAACGCGCCAGGCGGAAGCACTAAAAGAAAATTCAAAACTGTTTAATGAAGCAAAGTAATTATATAATATATAATATATAATATATAATATATAATATATAATATATAATATATAATATATAATATATAATATATAATATATAATATATAATATATAATATATAATATATAATATATAATATATAATATATAATATATAATATATAATATATAATATATAATATATAATATATAATATATAATATATAATATATAATATATAATATATAATATATAATATATAATATATAATATATAATATATAATATATAATATATAATATATAATATATAATATATAATATATAATATATAATATATAATATATAATATATAATATATAATATATAATATATAATATATAATATATAATATATAATATATAATATATAATATATAATATATAATATATAATATATAATATATAATATATAATATATAATATATAATATATAATATATAATATATAATATATAATATATAATATATAATATATAATCTCTATATATAAACTGTTTGTCCTGACTGACTGACTGACTGACTGACTGACTGACTGATTGGTGATCAACGCACAGCCCAAACCGTAAGAGCTAGGAAGCTGAAATTTTCACTGTAGCTACCTTATGTGATGTAGGTGCACGTTAAGACGGGGTTTCGGGAAATTCCACCCGCAAGTGTGGAAAAATCGCGAAAAACGTTTGTATGTAACTTTTTTGTTTACCATCGGAGCGGCCTCAAACTTATTTTCAAAGATCTTTGTTCAAATTCATTTGAGGGGTGTTTCACACTTTTCGAAAAATCCGTTCCTCCTTGGTGGAAATGGAGGTCAAAGATTTGGTGGGTGACGTTTCGCGCTCAAATTCGTTTCCAAAGTTCTATAAGAAAAATCTTTTGAGACGTGTTTCACACTTTTCGCAGAATCCAAACTTTTTCGGGTGGAATGCGACTCAAAGATTTTTTGTGCGAAGTTTTAAATTGTGTCCGATTTGCTTCAAACTTATTTTCAAAGCTCTACATAAGAATGTAATGAATACGTGTTTCAGCGATTTGAGAAATTCCACTCGCAACAGTGGTAAATTGGCGGAAAATGTTTGTATGTAAGTTATTTGTTTACCGTCCGATCAGTTTCAAAATCATTTCAAATTTGCTTGAGAACATTGATTTTATAACATACGTGCCACGGGCAAGGCCGGGTTATACCCGCTAGTGTATAATATATATATATATATATATATATAATATATAATATATAATATATAATATATAATATATAATATATAATATATAATATATAATATATAATATATAATATATAATATATAATATATAATATATAATATATAATATATAATATATAATATATAATATATAATATATAATATATAATATATAATATATAATATATAATATATAATATATAATATATAATATATAATATATAATATATAATATATAATATATAATATATAATATATAATATATAATATATAATATATAATATATAATATATAATATATAATATATAATATATAATATATAATATATAATATATAATATATAATATATAATATATAATATATAATATATAATATATAATATATAATATATAATATATAATATATAATATATAATATATAATATATAATATATAATATATAATATATAATATATAATATATAATATATAATATATAATATATAATATATAATACATATAATAATATATAATATATAACCAATCAAATGTGTGTTTTGAAACCGGCATAAATCAATTTTCCATTCTTTCTTTTCTACAGGTAGCTGTTAAATATGTATGTAGTTTAAAATGTGTGTCAAGCCGTCCTCTTTACAAAGAAACGATATAAAAATTATAAATTAAAACTAAATCGAACACTTTTTAAATAATAATTGTTCAGAGGTATAACTTTAGCTTTTACGTATACCTTTATAATATTGCACATTAAATGCGAGTACAATAACAAAACAAGTCGAAGCTTGTTTCTTGCTAAACTAGCGAGAATCATAGAAATGGACATCTTGTGTTTGGCCCACCTTTTCCGCGCGCGTGTGAAATAAAACAAACAAAAAAAAAGAAGAAAAACAAACAAAAACCAAAAACGACAGCAGCACACATAATAAGCAAAGCATAAAGGAAAAAATAAACTAAATCAGTGAAAAGTATTAACAAGATTAATAATCACATGAGCAGCAGCAACAACAACATCATCATCATCGTCCTCTGCATTAGCACGAGCCGAGGAAAATCAAGTGGATGCGGGACATGGAAACACTCATATAATTGTTCTATATACAGCTAGATATATTCCGTCATAAAAATCAATAGCCGTGGATTAGACGGTGGTTGTCATTGTCGCTGCTGATGTCGTTGTCGTTGCCAACGTCAATCAACATCTAGGAAATCCATCATACGCACTGTGGGACACGACCCAGGCAAATGCATTGCCCGATAGAGAGGTAAGCGCAAATAGAATGCAATCCCAACACATTTTCGGTTGTTTTCCTACTTTTTTTGAAGACACTTTTTATGTTCCTCTAATACTAACAAGAGATATGATATGACTATGATAACAAGTGCGATCTGCAGCGCGTAATACTATGCTATAATGTCTTGTTGTTTCGGCAATGTATTTTGAAAAACTGCCATGTCTGTGTGCGTTATATATGTAAATGTATATTATATATGTATGTATATGCATATATTATATGGTATTAACAACAATTTCAATGAAGTGCTGACAAAGACAAATACACACAGTAACATACCTCATTCACCAACATATAAATACGATGGCCACTTATACTAATCTTAAATATCGTGGCTGAGCATGTGGATACATTCATATAACAAAATCCGAATGGTGTCTGATTCAGTTGTTTTTAAGATATTTTCTTATTTTTGACGCTTTATCATTTTAAATGATACATCTAAAAGTACTTCCCCGTTTAGATTGTAAAATGAAAAAAATGAAATATTTCGATAATAATATGAATCAAGTCTGTCTCTGTCTTTCCCTCTCTCTCTCTCTTTCTCTCGTTCTTTTCGTCTCGAATGTCAGGTCGCAGGCGTAAGGCTACAAGTGTCAATACTAAAATATGATTAGGCAACCAAAAATGGTAAAAATAAAAATGTTGCTAAATGTTCTTACAATTTCGCCATTAGTCTTTCCTCGTCTCAACTTACTCCAATAAATCAAGTCTATGGTAGATAACCAAGAAGTAGAACGTGCAACGTGTTTCGATTATTAGAATCAGAACTCCTTTTCTAACCGAGATAAAAATAAACAACATTTTTTTTAAAATCTATATGGATGACTGATGACCGATGAATTCATAAAAAAAATATATTCTGATTCTAGAGTGTGAAAGTATGAATATTGTTTGTGGAATGTCTATGGAATGTTTTTCTATCCGTCAATTCTTTCGACAACGAACTCGGTGCTTGTGTAAAGGTCAAACGTTAGTTGTTTCTTATACAACAACTGCTTCGCAATTTGCAATAGTCAATATCAAAAACAGATTTAACAGATTAAGCGTTAATTTAAATGCTGTGATAAATGAACCTATCGTTTCCACGCATCATTATTCAGATGGAATTTCCTATCTGTTTCGTGCTGACGTTATATTGAAAACAGAGTATTGCGCAGTCGGAAAATTTCAATTGTGAATAGCTCAACCGACACACTTAGTTGAAATAGACACATTTTGTCTTCAGTTTTTCACTGCCAAGTCTCAAATTAATATATTCAAGCTCAGAGCCTTGAATTTGATTTAACATTTTTTTCTCACGAATATGTCAGATTTATGACAAAAGCAAAATAATAGACAATTGACGTCACCGAAAAAATGGAATTTCTTATTTTTGCTTATTTATTTTTACGTGGTTAGGTTTTTTTTGGCATATCACGTACGCGGTAATTCTTTTATCGCATCCAACACGCTGCCAAAAAGGAAGCCGATGAAAATCAAGCAGTATATAAGAAGTTTAGTACTCAAAGATTCTATTTGTTTTAATCTATTGCTGAATGTGGTAGTAAAAGTCACGTTATGTTAGAAATGCAATTATTTATTACTCGCGTATAGAAAAAGAAGGCAAATAGCAAACAAAATAATTAATTATGAAAATTCGACATGAAAACTAAAATATAGTAAAACATGCGGCAATAAATACAGGGTAGAGCAATGGAAAAATGTCGAGTCGTATCCCTTAGTTGGTTTGTTTGCTTTGTGTCTAGCATTTCGACGGGATGACGATGCCAGTCGTCTGTCTGTCAGCGTTAGCTGCTTGATGAACTATTAATTTCTCTTCGCTCTTCGCTCAAATTTATTTTGAACAAATGTGGCACGTGTGGCGGCAACATCATTTCAAATATGGCAGCTGAGGAAAAAAATGCTGCCCCAGTGACAAATTTTAGCTGTTTGCATCAAGGGAAAAGAATGTTTTGTCACAGCAACCAATAACCAGTTTAGTTAGTGTAGTCCAAATCAATTTTTATTCAAATTAATTATGATTTGAGCTTTTATGTAAATATTATATAAACTTCAGTTTATTATATGGAACCTTTACATTAGATTCATGTAACAAAAAAAATAAGCAAAACAAGTAAATTCGTAATATGTTGCTAATTGCAAAAAAACAAAAAAAATAGATAATTTATACAAAAAATCCCGAGGAGACTTTATAGAATTGTGTCAGCAAACTACAATGTTGGTATTTTGGGATAATTAAAATTTGGATAGACTTCGGCTTATGTCTCTGCCGCATTCTTAGGCCAGACCCATTCCCCACTGGTTAGGGTCTGACCAAATTGCAAGTTTGCCATGGGCCCTGCCGTAATAATACATAATTGGTAGGCGTCTGGCGGCCGGCGGCTCATATAGACAACGACAGGTGGTCGCCTGCAGTGGTCGACACGATGTGCCCGGATGAGCGAGGAAGACAGAGGAAGAGAGAGAGAGAGGTAGAAAGAGAGAGAGAGAGAGAGAGAGAGAGAGAGTGTGAGGGAGAGAAAGAGAGATGAACGCTGATCAGCGGAGGTTGCCTCTTTTATTTGTTCGCTGCTGCTGGCGAGGCGAGGATCATATCCATTAGCTGATTTAATGAAATCGTAAATCAAATGAACGGATTGCTAAAAATACACGCGCGCGTATTTTATGTTTTTTGAAGTGGAACTTATGCCACAGCAACGAGTACAACAATGCCGAACAATAGATGAAACGTGGATGAAAATCCGAAGCCATCCCCAGCCTCCGATAGTATTCAAATATAAATATATATATATATATATATACAATATATATATATATATATATATATATGTGCCTGTATAATATGTGTGCATGTATGTATCTGTTTCTATATCGGTATCCGTATGCGCCTTCTATCTGTGCCTTCTAATGATGAGCACATGTAATGTTTTGTATTGCAAACTTGGCGTTTTATTTCGACATTTCTTGCAATGAATAATGCACACTTCTGCATGGGTTTTTGGTCGATTTTGGTTGTATCTTTTTTTTTTTTGCATTTTTTTTTGTTTGGTTTATGCATTTGGCAAGAGTGCAGCCATTGTCGTTGTCGTTGTCGTTTTCGTTGTCGTCTGTGACTTACAAGGCGTGTCTATCGCGTTGGCCAAGATTTTTGCTTGGCTGGCCGGCGTTACAGTTTTGTGCGTCTCTGTCCTGTCTTACCCATACGTGCCTTTTACTATGGCAGGCGCTCGATGATTATGAACACTAAGTGTGTGCATCTTTATTTAATTAAAACATTTGATTTGCTCCACTGTGTGTGCGCCTTGGTCGCCTCCCCTGCTTCAGGCGTCTGGGTTGTTATTTATGCCTGCAGTTTTGTTTTTCAGTCACCATCAACATCATCATGATCATCAGCTTTAATAGCATCCGTGTCAACCCTAAGCAGATTCGTTTGTCATGCAAACCACGTCCAAGTAGCAGATTTTATTTGCATTACGCAAAAATTTTACCTTCACCATCTTTCAAGATTATTTATTGGGTGCATTAGTCAGCTTTTGTGCAGTTTTCTATTGTTGAGACAAATGTTGTTTATTTGGTGAGCGTATTAAATTTGATTTGATTTTATTGCCAACAGGTTTGCTGCATTCATCACGCACCAAAAGTCAACAAAAAAATTAATTTGTATTTACTGTGCCAGCTACTTATCCTTACATATATACAAATATATATATATATATATATAATATATACATATATATATCTATATATACAACTGTTTGTCCTGACTGACTGACTGACTGACTGACTGATTGGTGATCAACGCACAGCCCAAACCGTAAGAGCTAGGAATCTGTAATTTTCACTGTATTTACCTTATGTGATGTAGGTGCACTTTAAGACTTTAAGGAAAAATCGCGAAAAACGTTTGTATGTAACTTTTTTGTTTGCCATCCGATTGGCCTTAAACTTATTTTCAAAGATCTTTGTTCAAATTCATTTGAGGGTTGTTTCACACTTTTAGGAAAATCCATTTCTCCTTGGTGGAAATGGAGGTCAAAGATTTGGTGGGTGACGTTTTGTGCCAAAATCATTTAAAATTTTTTTAAGAACATTGATTTTATAACATACGTGCCACGGGCAAGGCCGGGTTATACCCGCTAGTATTATATATATATAAATATAATAAAAATAAAATATATATAGCAATAGAGACTATAGCTCATTGCTTGCACTTTGCTTGTCAGCGCGCTAAAATTCCCAATTCCTCACGCTATGATCTGCGCAGAACATGTTGATTTTATTTTTGGAAATCCGAGAAATATTTACAATTTTACCCATAGTTGTGTAGGGAAAGAAAGACTGCCGACTGTTGTCTTAAAAATTATTTACTAATTTTTCTCATAACTTTGTTGTCTATGGAAGTTGAATGTGATGTTCCTTCAAATACAGAGTGTTTCATTAATTTTTTAAAAAATAAATATCCTTTATTACCCGAAGCTCTCCGGTACTAGAATTTTTTCCTAATACCTCCCCAAATCGATACTATACTCTGCTTACAACCGGTTAAGGGCTTGTGCAATGTCCAATGTCCGGAATAACGTAATTTTTCTTGGCGTTATGACTGTAGCGTAGGGCTGTAGACTTGATACTATGAGAGAAAAGTGAAAATCTATATCCCCCACAGTTTCAGAGCTAAATATTCTAAATTGTACAGGTAGACACTGCCGGAAACCTTCAAATTGATCTTCGATCACGCCCACCTTAACCCCCCTAAAAATCGATATTTCCCAAAGTCAAAGCTGCTTTATAATTTCAAGTAGGATTCGTTGCTTTGTGAAAATGGTCTTTCGCAAATTGAATCAGTTGATTCAAAGAGATATTCCCTGGGGAGGAATGCATTCGATCTGAGTTGTTTATATATACAAAATTAAATTAGTGGCGCACGTCTTTTCCAAATTTTACCTCCAAATTATATTGTTAAATCTTGT